GAGAGAGAGAGAGAGAGATCTTCTTTTAAGTTAGGGTTTCTTTTTAGTCTGTCTCAAAATAAATGATTTCTTTCTCATTTTTAGTCCTTTCATTTTAGGGGCACCTTGTGTTGGGATTCCTTTTATAATAGAAATTTCTAAAAGCAAACATCATTATCTATTTAAAGAAAGTTTTCCATTTTTTGGGAAGGCTTTTAGAGTACCCAATCTTTCCAAAATAGCAAACTAAAACTGCCAAAAAAGGAGGTAAACCTGGTCTGGTTCTTACCTATGCATGACATGCTTTTTAAATTTGGTTATGTTGATCTGGGTAAGTCTTGGGTCTCCAAGGGTTGCTCGCCTACAAATCTTGAAGATCAAATAAAATGGTTCTAGAATACTTTCATGTACAAATAAGAGTAATGGTAATCAAAATTATGAAAAATGGAACTCTTTGATCTCATAATTTTAGAAACAAAGGATTCTAAGTTGAGTTGACTTAGGATGAGCTTGCTCATTAAGTTGTCCATATGTGAGATTTAATTAAGATTTTATGTTCATAGAGGAATGAATAGGTTTGTGGTATATTGGATGAACTGAAAGGGAAGATTGGCAACTTAGAGAAGCAAAAACTTTGCGTGATTGTTATCACTGATAGAGCTCCTGTGAGGTATTTGGGCCTGTTTGATGGTGCATAGTAGCACAACTTTATGTGCATGACCTACTTTATTAGGTCTTTCCTGTGGTGTTAGCTACAATATATTGGCTCTGGTTGTACCAAATCAACGCTATTTGGGAATAGAGAACTACAAAAAAGGCAAATAATACAAAAAGCTGTTTTTCCCTTCTCTTAGGTGCAGCGGTTTCCTGCAGCGAGTTATTTGCTGCATCCAAAGATGCCCTTAGATTTGATGGATATATATTTCATTGTTGGTATGTGCCTTTGCAGAATTTGATCTACACATTCTCTTTTAATGAATTTGTTACTTATCAAGGGAAAAAAGAAGAAGAAGCAGTTAATGGAACTTAGTGGATAGATGTAGTGCTCTCAAAAAATGATGATCTGTTTCATGTTCATTGCTATCAACCATAGGACATTCTTCATGGCCAGAGAAAACCTATCAAATGCAATTCTTTGGCTTTTTGCTGTCTGATCCAAGGTCTTGAACATGGACGACTTTCATTATTCAAAGACATATTCAATAGTCAGAGTTCATTCTGTGGCATCAGGGTCTATGAAACATTCGTGCATGTATTTGTCCATCTCATGCGTCTTTGTGATGAAAGTGTTCTGTTGTACTGTTATTGTTATTTTGATAAGCGGCCTTGATTATAAATGTTTTGTTATTTTACATGAATGGAACTAATTTGTAATGCTTTTAAGAGATGCACAGTGAAATTGTTAGAAGAATAACTTGAAGACAGAAATATCAGTCTGATTTAGTAGATTATAGTCCAGAAAATTTGGATGTTGGTGGAGACTGCAGAGGTTTCAGGAATTTGGAGGTTCTAGAACCTTTTAAGGTTGCTGTAGCGTATGCTCCCTTACAATGCCTTTGAATGTGTGAGGCAGTGCTTTTCTATCCTGGCCAAAAGAACAATCTTCTCTGTATATTGTAACAGGAAACTTTGTTATCTAGGCATGATCTCCTTACATGAACTTCAAATCGGGATACATTTGTGATAAAAACATATTATGTGGTATATTGTTGAGCTGTCTTGTAGATAATAGCTCTAGTCCTTGCGGTTAATAGTTTACAGGCACTGTTATTGTTTGTAGTGTATATGTTATGTAATTAGTTATTTAAAAACATTACCTCCATCCTGGTTTTTCTTTATTGATGAAGTTCTAGCACTTGTCTTACCTCTAAAGCCAATGCTAATGCTACTATACCCTATAAGTATAAAAGCATATGGATCTCATGCTTTCTGGTATAGTTACCTTGGAAATGAGGATGATCTGAATTTATTCATTACTAGAGAATCTACTTCTTTTTCTTAGATGCTTCTAGTAAAATTTTCTGATCTGGTTATTAATATTTTTGAAGAATGCTCATAAGTCACTTATGCATTTCATGTTTTCTGATGCACCTTGTGATGGTTTGTGGATGTTATCATCATTATTGGAGAATGCTTGTAAGTCACTTTTTAACTTCAGATAACTTAATTTGCTTAGCTATCAAAGTTCATGCAACTTATTTTTGATAAACTTGTACATGTTAGGCAAAAAAGGTTCTCCTGTTCAGTTGATGTAACTGATACAATGGAAGCTACTAATGATGCATCCTCAGATCCTCCCAGGAACAGTACTCGCCGGAAAAGAAGGCGTATGAGTCTGTCCAGTGCCAATCATACAATAGAAAGGGAGTTAGGAGATGACGGGGTGAGCATAATATTATTCTAAGCTCGATTCTGTAGGTGATATTTGCTTCCTAGATCATTCTTGTTTCCTGGATTCATTGGTGATGCTATGCCTTACTTTCTTGGTAACTAGCCATGGGTTTCCCTTTTATTATGTTCAATGTATTGTTTACTCTTGCAGTTAGAATGCTCATGTTTTTGCCCTGGAACTTGATAAATTGACACTATTAAAGTGCTTTTCCATCTTGTTCATTTTTTATCTGATCCAATTTATGCTATCTGGGCGTCTTCCCTAAGAAATCATGGAAAGTGTGCTCTAGTATTGGTGTCATGGGTGCAATACTATGGGAGCACCTTTTTCTTTTTCAATTGGTAGCATTCTGGTAGTTCTACTTATCCATTCATAGAATACTTTCATAGCCTAGTTGTTGACATCGTAGTCACACCCCAAAGGTGCCTGGTTTGAATCTCATGCCTACCAATCACAAGAAATGAGAAAAACAAGAGCACTGTGTTATTTGGTTTGATTTGTTTATTATCTGATGCAACATTGTAACTGGTTTTCTTAAGTATGGCTTCATGCCAAGTTTACCGAATCTATATTTTAGGAGCCCTCTGATAAAAAAATTATATGATTTAGATGCCAGCTTAATATTGATCCTTGTATTTATATTCTGTATTGGTTGTGTCTATCAATTGATGCATGAAACATGGACCTCGAATTATGCCAATGATGCAGTAAATTCTTCATTTATTTCCATTGGATGGAGGTGGATAAGCCAGTAGTTTATTTAAGGTCTTGGATTCAATTTTGAATCATTTCTGATCATGATCTGGAAAGCTTGGAGGTCAAGGTATGGGTACAGAGGGAGACGTTATTATCCTTATCTTAAAGATCGTCTAATCTGGTTTGGAAAGCTCAAAGACAATGTATTCGTCAGTGAGATCCAATTGACCCAAGCTAAAATAAATTGTATGGAAATTGTTGAGAGCATTCATTATTAAGTCACATCTAAAGCAATTGTTTTATATTTATTGGTGCCGTCATTGATCAATAGTCGGTTATTGCTATAAGGGGTCATTCTAAGCCTCCTTTTGGTTTGATGGCCTCTTTCCTTGGTTTATCATTGGGTGTTTACTATAGAACTTTTATTGTTTTATAGTGATATTTTGTAGGTTTTGATTTTCCTGGGGACTTGGATTTGTTTTGGCTTTGATATAGCTCAGGTGCAAACTTGGGTCAATATTGTTGGAGAGGAGGGTGTTTAGATGTTATGACAAATCAGGGGTTAAAGGGGGTCAAGACTTGAGAATACTCCTATGGGAACTTGTGGGGTATATGGACCAATTGAAAGAGGTGTTTTCTAAACAAATGATAATATGTTTTTGACCTAATAATTGACCTTTCTGTCTTGGGGCTTGCAGTTCAACTGTAGTTAGCATGGTCAGGGGATAATTGTGGTTGGTTGAGAATGTATCAATCTGACGATTGGGAGTAATTACAACAACTTGGAAGTCTGATTAGGACTTGGATAAGGTTGTTATTGTAAGAGAGGGATTTCTGGAGTTGTGAACAATAATTAAAGAAACTTCGTACAACAATGTCTTCACAATCCTCAGAATGAACTTTTTTGTTATAGCTGACACTGTATTAAAAGACTGAGATATACATCAAGCTGTACTCATGAGACCTCAAAAGGAACAAGTTTTACAAGGTGAAAATGAGACAAGATGGCTCCACCGGTAGGTGCCATCCCTAAAGCTCCACTCCCTCCTTTATACCATCGCTATTCCCACGTCATCCACAATAAAGCTCCTCGCATCCATCCCCTTACCTCCAACCCCCCTTGCCCTCCTACCTCCCCCAGCTCCCCCCCACTCCTGCTCCTACCCCTTCTCGCTCTTCCATGATAGCTCCCTTTGCCATTCCAGTAGGAGGGCCACAATCTTCCCACACTGCCTATGCTACCAGGTCTCCCACATTGTCAATGCTCCCAGGTCTGCTTTGGTAGGTTGGCTTCACCACACCCCGCCCCCCCTCAAAAAAAAAAAAAAATAATATCAAGGGTATACAGTCTTGGAGTAGGGATTTGTGGGGGTCCCTGATCTCACTTGCAAACGCCTCTCTTCAGCAGAAATTCTGCAGCCGCAACCATGCTTTACAGGGGCCCAATCTTACTTCTAAAGGGGCATCTCTTGCCCTTCTCTCCTGGAAAGAGAACATGGGGGCAGTTTCTTCACAAAAGATTTGGCTCCAGGCCACTCATCCCCATGCAGGTATGGCATATCGACACCTTCAAGAAAATAGGGGACTCTCGCGGAGCTTTCATCTCAGTTCATTGGAAGTCTTCAGGTGTCCTTCCCCTCAGATCTATCCAGCTTCTAGTGGAAACCTTGGCCCCTTTTCTTATCCCGCCATCCATTTAGCTTGAAGTAGAGGGTCTCTTCTTCCGCATCCCTCTGGCTTGGTCCCTTGCTTTCCCCTCTTCTCCTCTCCATTGCAGTGACCACGATGTTCCAGCGCATGATCTGCGGGACCATCATCCCATGGTAAACCAAGACTGCTGGACTATAGTCTCTAGAAGGCGGTGTGAGTGGAGACAACATAGCCGTCCAAATCCCCATAGTGAGGCTCTAAAAAATGGATCATTCAATAGATAGCATGCTCCAAAAGCTTCCCACCCCCTTGGAATTCCCAATTCTCTCGGGCTGCTAGATGTCACCCCTACCCCTTCTTTCCAAGGCATGTCATCCTCGGCTTTCGAAAAGGTGCGTGCCCTCCATCCACGGCAGCCCAAAGGTCTTTTCCCTCTGATGTGCTTTCCATCGCCCAGGTGATCGCCACCCCTCCAGTCCCTCTTGAGGCGCCGCATGGCATCACCCCTGACCTCCCTTCGCCTTTATGTCTATCGCACGCTACCCCCTTACCCCTTTCTCTATACTCTCCCCTCTCTGCTGAGATGCCTGTTGTGGTAGCTGTCATCCCTCTGACCCTCCTTTGCTCGGTTGATGGACACGCGTCCATCGAAAAAGGCTCTTTCCAGTCGTGGCTTTAATCCTCCAGCTCTCTCCATCCGTCCCAGATCCCAGAGTTCCCCCTTCCTCACCTGCCTTCTCCTCTTCTTTTATCTCTGGGTTTGCTTCCTCTCCTTCCTTGGCCCTTCTCCCCTTTCTCTCTAATCCGGCCATACCTGCTTCATCACTTGCCGTATCCTGTCATCCTGGCCCTCTAATTCGGCCGCCTTCCTCCACCCACCATTCCAAACCCTCCCTTCCCCATTCCCCTTAATCCCTTGTTCTGTCTCCTCTAGTTCTTCCCGTCCCTCTTCCTTCTCCCACCCTCTATATGTATATTCATCCCTCCTTTTCGAACCCAGGGGAGATGTCTAAGCCTTCTCTGCCTGCCACCCAGTGGGCAATTCCCCCAACCCTCAGCCAAGCCTACCCTACCCTTTGCCCTCATCCCCACCCCTCAGTCTGCCTTTCCCTCTCTCACAAACCCAATCTCTCCCCCCCCCCCCCCCGACCTTTGATACCATATAGCCCTAGGGACTTGGAACCACCTCCCTCCCTCCCTCACCCATTTCTTCATCCCCATCCTCGGAGTATCGCTCATCCCCCCCCCTCTTCAGAAACTCTCTCAATGGACTCTGTGGACTCCTAACTTTTTTGTTCTTTCACTTGTATGTCTTATTATTATCAATACAAATGGTCAACTTTCTCAACCAAAAAAAATTAAAAAAACTTTTGGTGTTATAAGAGAACTTCTTGGCAAAGGGTTTTTAGTGAGGGGATATATTTGGCTAAGGTTACTAGATCATCCCATATAGTGCTAGAAGGCACGAAACAAGATAGTACTGAAGGTTTTAGGGGTAGGCCCAAAAGGACATGGTTGGATGTAGTGAGAAAAGATATGTGGACTTATGGCCTCACTGAGGTTATGGCCTTTGATAGAGCAAAATGCCAAACTAGGATTCGTGTAGCAGACCCCAAGTAGTTGGGAAAAGGCTCTGATGATAGTGATAATTTTTTTCTGTTGGTATGTATATCAGGACTCATCAATATCGTCACGTTCATACCCACATGAGATTTTGTTTAAAATAATTATTTTGACTGTGTTATTTTTCTTTTCTTTTCACTATTGCAACCATCATTTATATTTTTGTTCTTATTTTTCTCTCACTAATCCGGCATTGATATTTTTGTTTTCTCTTTTTTCACTTAATGCTATTAAAAAGTATTATTTCTTCTGCATATTGACTTCCTTTGCAGATTAAGTTTTGAAACTGATGTATGGTTGTAATCTGTTTGCAGCATTACTTTGAATGTGTTATCTGTGATAATGTTGGTGACTTGCTCTGCTGTGATGGGTGCCCCCAAACTTTCCATCTTGATTGCCTTAACCCTCCACTTGCGGTATGCATATTAGAAACCACAGATGCATTCTAATAACCTGAGAAACTATGGAGAAAACCATAGTCCATTTTGTCATAACTGTCAATTGAAATGATCGACGGTGATGGAGAGATAGTGGGACCCTCCAGAACAGGATGTGTCCCCTATGGACGTTCCCACTCTCCATCAGGGTCCATTACTTTCACTGGACAGTGATAACCCCAGAATGATTTTCTCATAGCCATGGACTATAGCATACCTAAATATCTGTCTTGATATTGATTGATTATTGAAGAACAGCCTTAGCTTTAAGCTTGCAGATCTAGTGAATGAAATTTTTTTTTTTTTCTGTTTTTTGAAGCGTGTACCTCCGGGAAGGTGGCTATGTCCTAGCTGTTGTCCGGTAGAAAGGCTTGCAAAACTAAAGAAAAGGAGTGCGAGAACAACGGAACATAACGTAGGAGCTGGAGCCAGATCAGTCACTCCTCATTCTCGTGAACTTTTATTGATGGGGAGTTTAGGTAGGAATCCTTCCTTGAACGAAGAACAAGTCATCTCTCCAGATAAGGTTGTTTCTGGTGATAGACCAGATCCAGTACCTATGGTTCTCTCGCCAAATACAAATTCTGGGTCTAATTGCCATGGTGGAGCTCCTGAAGGCATTAATGGTTTTCCAGTGACGGATGTGGATGCTGAGAACAGTTTGTCCTCTCCAAATTTGAAGTCATCCAAAAAAGCAAGGCATAGTGATTCATGTCAGATTGGTTCTCTCACTAAGGCTTCTGCGATGGATTCCATGGATGCACCATCTGAGACAAAACCAGGCCCATCATCTGCCATTGAGAGGGTCACAAAGAAGCAACCATTAATTTCTTTTTCTCGGAGGGCTAAGAAACAAGCAAATAAGAATGCTAGTGATATCCAAAAGCCATTAACTATCGAGACTCAAAGCAATTGTTCATCTGGGGGAGACTCTGGGTTTCCCGAAAGTGGTCAGGCTTCTCAAAGATGCAATTCTGTGGATCATTCTACAGCTGATGTTCCTTTGAGGGAAGATCCCAACCGGATGCCATCAATTTCTCGTAAACAAATTGAGGTATTGGAAATTGGGTTGTTATTTAGGCATTCTGTGAACTTTCTTTGACTGTGCCATTGAGAGTGTTTCATTCTTTATATGCTCGAACTTATGTTTGAAATTGTCAAGTCAAACTGGCAACATACTCCTAATTATATTGTTTGGGGGGGAACCATTGTCCACTGGGTTATGACCGTGTGTCGGAGAAACAGTAGGACCTACCAGAACAAGACAGGGCCCAAAGGGACAGTCCTACTATCTCTGTCACCATCCACACTATTGAGGACCTGATGGGCTTCATAAATGTTGCTGTCTCAAGCCCCTTACTTTTTAAAGGCACAGATTTATTAGATGATTAATGCCTTCATATGCTTCCTATGCTGTGTCTTCATTTTTATAAACATTTGAATCAAATATCATCCAAATACCTTTGAAATGTATTCTATGAATGCACCCTAATGCAATTTTTTGCAATAGTTAAATCAAGAACCATTTGAAGAACCCATTGCTGTGTTGGATCCTCATGTTGTTGGAGAGCACAACTCAATTTCTAATGGGAAAAAGCTAGATCATGCGAATAAGGGCACTGCTGATGAAAGAAGTGACAAGCTGAATGTGAGGTGGGTCCTTGAGTTTGTATTTTTTTTTATGTCATCATATATTCCCATTTTCCCTTGTTGGTACTGTTGCAGTAATATCTAGATTACTAAGATTTCTATAGGAACGATACTTTGTCCAAGGACTTTTGAAATACTCTTATGGGGATGCAGTCTGGCACCTCATTAGCCGCTTCTCCACAATATATCTTGGAAATAAGTAAATCATGAATTTAAGCAAAATTTTCTATCTGGTTAAATTTCCTTTAACTTTTCCACTAGCATCATTAAGAAATTTCGAGTTTTCTATTTGCCAGTTTGGAAAACTCTTGACCTTATTCCTTAGATCACTCTTAGAATGTAGAACTGACCACCCTTCTCTTTTGGTTTGGTATTTTTTGCACTTGCATCCATCCCAGGGTAATTTCCTTTTATCTCAGGGCATCCTGGCAGTACTAATTCAACATATTCAACTACCCATACATGGAACCTATTTGTATTATAATCTCTTGGCCTTTGCTTTTTCCCTTGTGCTTTTGTGAGACTCACCTAAGTTTGGATAACAAAAAAATTGTACCCTTGTAATGAACATATTGAATATTGATTCATGACGGTAAATGAATAAAATTAGAATATTTCTTATTGAATGTGTTCCACTTTAATATCTTAATTCTACTACGACTTACTGTGCATTTCCTTAGTTACCCCATTAATGTTTGGAGAAGGAAAATTATTCAGTCATCTGCCTTCTTTTGTTCTTTCTTTTCTGTCCACAGACAAGTGGAAGAATTTCAACATGATGTGGAAATAGTTCCTGACCATCAAAATCCTTTAGAAGTTTCCCTCAGCAGTAAAGCCTTTGCTAAGTGCTCTGCTAAAGATTTGAATGAGGTAATTGAATTTATTTCTTTTCAGTCTTATAAGCTTTTGTCACATAGATCTGGTTCTGGTTTGTAGGTTTCATTGCCCACACTTGCAAATTGTTTACAGAGTTGATGGAGTTCTTGATCCTAGACTTAGAGAAATTCATCATTCGGGCCAACAATGTTATTCCTTTTTATTTGTCTCTCATTTAGGTTACGTGTATATTAAGCTTGTTCTGGTATTAGGGTCTGACAAACACGGCTTCCTTTTTATATATTTTTTAATCTATAAACACTGTAACCCTTTCCAGAAGGATATACCACCTGAAAATATTTTATTTTATGGTGATGAAATCAAGTGTCAATTGAAGGTTAAAACAAGTTACCAAACTTGGGACTCAGTATGGTTATAGTTGAGTCAAGAAGCAATACCCCATGTAGACACAGTGAGTCTTTAAATAAAAAGAAGATGGAAAAATAAACAAAATTTAAACATTAAGTTTCAGAGAAAACATTTTCTTTGAAACTGTTAACTGTTCTATTAGTAAAAGGGGGAAGATACAAGTAGAGAATGGATGCCACCCACAGGCCGGGGACACTAATCCAAAAAATAGGCTTCCCACCAAGTGGGAGCCCTGTACAAAAAGTGGGGCTAAGCCTGAAAAGGTAGCCCAACGGCTATAAACAAAATTACAATAGACTTCTCAAGACTGAGGATCCAAAAAATCAGGTGTTGGTGTTGTGGGCTCCATCTGTAGCGAGGGTGTCTGCTTCGGCATTGGATTCCTGCCAAGTATGCCTCCATAAGACGACCGTAACAAATATAAGTGATAACATTTTGTGCATTTCCTTCTAAGATCATAAGCTGGCTCCAAAGGGGATTGAATTGTTTGAGGCTTTCTAGGAGGGCCATGGACTTGGCTGACTGGGAGTCTGCATGACCAATATGCATGGAATAGGAGGAGAGAATAAGTCCATTGTGGTCCCTGAAGATGCCACCTACACCTGCCAGCCCGGGGTTGCCAAGGGAGCAACCATCGAAATTCAGTTTGGTCTGTCCCTGAGGGGGTGGGGCCCAGTGGTGAGCCCGAGGGGGATGCGGTGGATGGTTGTGGAGCAAGGTTAGCCAATTTTGAAGGAAGGTTGAAGAAGGGTAACACTTGAACCTCTTGTGGTTGGTGGCCCAGAAAATGACCGAAGATGTGATCTTGTTAATGAGAGCAGCCCTCGAACACTTCTCGCCTCTAAAATTTCTGGAATTTCTTTCAGTCCAGATGACCCAGATGGTAGCTGCTACTGAGGCTTTCCACAGAATCCTGCTGGCTTTGGGCCAAGGGCTCGATTGGATCAAACGAAGAAGTGCCGGAATGGAGGGTGGGGTTACCCACTGCCAGCTGAACAGTTGGAATAATGCCCCCCAAAGACCCTGGGCCATGGGGCAATGGAGGAAGAGATGGGCATTGCTTTCTTCGGCTTCGCACATGGCACACCTATTGGGGATTGGGAACCAGCTTCTTTGGAGATGGTTGACCGTTAGGCCCCGTTTGGAAAGGGCAATGCAATTGAAGGCTTGGACTTTGGGAGGAGCTATGGAGGACCACGCTTGGGCGACAATTGAAGTGGGAGAGAGGGGGAAAGTGGTTGGCGTGAGCAGCTTTTTGTAGAAAAGAGTATACGGAGAAGGATCCTGAGGGAGAGGGGCTTCAATGATTTGGTCAGGGCCACTGGGGGCAAGAAAGGTGGAGTGGAGAAGGGTGGAAAGGTTGATGAAATCGGTAGTTTCAGTGTCAGAGAGGGCTCTTCTGAATGAGGGGTTCCACACTCTCAAGTGACCTGTAAGGGGCATTTCTTCAGCTACAGTGGAACTTTCATTTGAGGATAGAGCGAAAAGAGAGGGAAAGAGGTCCATGAGAGGGGTGTGGCCAAACCATAGGTCGGACCAGAAACGAATTCGACTTCCCTCCCGTTGGTGGAATCTGATGAGTCTTTGGAAGAGGCTGTAAGAGGACAAAAAGGATTTCCATGTCCCCGAGGCCCTGCTGGAAGGCCTACCATTGGGCAACCAGGCGTTTGAGTCAAGACGATATTTGCTACGGATAACTTGGATACATAGTTGGTTCTCTTGAGTCGCCAGTCTCCAAATGCACAAGAAGACAAGAGGAGTGTGTATGTGTGCACGTGCTCTCGCACGCGCGCAGGTATGAGGATAGATAGGAAGCTACATGTTTGCTATCTAGAGGAGGAATAATCTGGTAGAGCTGGGATCTATTTAACTGACCAACTATAGGTTCCAGAATGATATTGTCTGATTTATTGATGGACAATGTTGGAGACTAGTGGTAGCTACCCATTGGATCATTCACCGTTCTAGTAGTCCCAATTCCACAGTCCAATGCCCATCCATCATTTGGACTCTTTCAGGTCAGATCTACGTAGTTCAGGTTAACCTTATGCTAGTGTTCATTTCTCTATCAAAAAATACACATCATATCAAAATTGCCCAGGAACTGGATCAAATCAATAAACCCGTGGGACAGTTGTGAACTACCACCCTTACCAGTGTGGCATCTGGTCCAGTTTTAATGCCATTGCTCTGTGGTGGGCATTTGGTGCTAGTTAAGCACTTGAAAATGGTTTATGGAAAGTTTGACTTGAATGACAAGTTGACAACCCTGTGTTTTGTGGTCTGTAACAAAAAGCTAAGTATTAGAAATATTTTGCAAGACTGCAACAAGCTTATAAGTCTTCTATTTTACTGTAAAATTATGATGATATTCAATCTAAAAGACCCATTCTGAGAGGAGGCCATTCATTTGTGAAATGTGGGATACATCTTTTCATCCTTATTTACTATTTTTAGGAAGAGGCAGGTATACTATAATCTCACAGGCTATGAGAAACCATAGTCCAGTGGGGTCATCACTCTTCAATGAAGTCATAGATGGTGGGGAGACAGTGGCACCTGCTAGAGCATGACATGATCAATTGGTGGTTCCTCACTCCCTTGCCATCACTGTGCAGTGATGACCCTATTGGACCATGCATCTTGTGTAGTCCATTGGATTGTGGTATACTTTCCCCTTTAAGAAAATAACTTACCCATTCCCGGTTTTATTGTGGTTTCTTGCAAGTTTTCTTGCGACATCTATGCCAAGCTGTTATCCATGCTGTTGACATCATCTATTCTCTGTATGTGATATATTGAACAGATTGCTGATGATGAAGGGAGCAAAAATGTTCCAGTGGAACAAGCTATGAAGCCCATTATGTATGTATATCTTCAACTTTATCCTTTTAATTTTTCTTTTGCACCCCTTTTGGTTGTATGTTTATCGTTGCTGCTTATTTTATTCCCTGGGCTCCAAATTGACTGTGAACAGGGTTGATCTTAATAGAAAAGAACCAGAGAAGATTACCGAGAGTTACCCACTTGAAGGATTTAGGGGTTCCCAGACTAATTTGGAACTTTCAGATGCTCTTCTTGGTACTTTAGATATAAATAGTTTACCCCCAAATCTAGAATTTCAGATGCCAAATTCCTTAACACCACCTAGTTTAGTGATCCCAGTTTCTGGAAGCAACTCTTTGGCATCTGATGTAACTGTTGCCACAACAGTTGGGGAACGTACTAGTTCTCAATCTTCGATAGATGGGGTCTCTGAAAATCCCCAAAAACCTGACCTTCTATCTAGAACAAACTGCAACCTATCTTTGTTTGAGAAAAAAGCTGCGGAAAAAGGAAAAGGGTTGGCTATGTTGGATAGCACAGGAAACAATAATTTGCAGGCATGTGTTGAATTTGAGCAATCTCAGGGCAGAGTACTTGGGACTGTAACTCGGAGGCCATCTAGTGGAGTTCTTGACATGATGATATCTGAAAAGTCTCCATCCCAGCAGTCAAAGAAAATCCAAGAGAAACGTATTCCTCTTGATCTGGTGAGGCACCATCCAATCTCTTTTCTTCATGGTTTTGCTATTGTACCCTTTTTTATTCCTTACTGAAAAACAATGTTGTTGTGCATCATTTCTCATCATACACCACCACCCCCACTCCCCTCCAACCATGACCACCACCTTTACTGCCTTCCTCAGTATATTATTGTGTTAGCTAAGGTGTATACCCTGTAAGACCACCAAAAAACCGTAGTTGTCCCTACTTTAAGATTTACTTTAAACATGATTCCCTTGTTCTAGATATGTGATGTTCTCTGATGCGCCTATGTCGAGATGCCACTAGAAAACTACTTTATGTGATTTCTTTCTCATGCCTTGTGTGTTTGATCTCTTGTTCTTACAACCACTTTTTATGTATTTTCTGGCATGGATCTTCATATGTTTCACTTTTTAATTTTCCATTTCTGAAGTTCTTTTGATCATTTTGGGTTTCAAAGCAGACCATCCCATGTGATCAACAGATTCAGATGCCCACGTCCTATTTAACTGTGTGTGAGCAAATTGTCTAGAACATTGATCACTTAAGATTTTGCCATGGCTGTCTAAATATTGGTCTTTCACTTAACCAAAATAAATATTGGTCTTTCACTTGATGTGCAGAACACTTTAGCAACAACAAGCCCAGAGGAAAACCCATCATCAAGCAGTTCTCCAGGAAGGATCCCTTCCCAACCTCCTTTCATTAGTCCACCTTCTGACCGCTTGAACATTCAAGAGAAGAAAGTATCACCCCCATCAGTGAATAGAGAACAATCGCCAGCCATGCCGAATTTGTGTGCTTCTCCCTACCTAGGCCTATCTCTCTCCTCAACTTCCAGAAACTCCTTTAGAGACTTCCCAGTCATGCCACCCTGTCCAAGTGTTTGGTCTAGAAGGGCCCAAGACTCACTAAATCCGTTGACCAGTCGAAATTCTAGAGAAATAAACTTGAATCCATCAACGGACAGATACCATAACCGCATGATGTTTGACAACATTGGGTTGAGAGAAAGATCAACAATCCATGGGTCTCTCTCAAGGGAGAAGAAGCAGGGTCTGCAAATTGGTTGGTTGGAGGAAGAGTTGGATTCCCTCTGGATTGGGGTGCGGAGGTATGGGCTAGGAAACTGGGAGGCCATTTTACGTGACCCGAAATTCCATTTCTTGGATCACAGAACTGCCCAAGATCTATCAGATCGATGGGAAGATGAACAGTGGAAATTCTCAGAGAAGGTATCAACCCAACCTCCTAGGAACTCGAGATCAAAATTTTCCTCTCATTATGGCAGTCCTTACAGTGAGAATTTGGGGTATTTGAGCTCCCAGAGTTTTATCCCAGGAACCTCAAATCCATGGGGAGATTTTTCAGCTCGTGGAGAAACAAGTAACTCAGTTTACTCAACATATCCAACGATGCGAAAGCAATTCTCGCCCATTCCATATTCGGTTAATGAAAACACAAAGGTGGGTTCTTCTTACTCACCAGGAATAGTCATGGATAGCCATCCGAGAAACTATGGGAAGAGAGAGAAAAGGCCCATTAGAGCTCACAGAGAGAGATGGATAGATTCAGATTTCAAAATTCCGAGCCCACGAAATGTAGTCTTGGGTTTGCCGCAGGAAAGGAGAGAGAGAAGGGCAAGACATGGGCCACGGAGAGGAGAGAATCCAGGATTTCTACCCAGAAACTGGGTGCTGAACAACGCTCCAATCAATGAGGAGCTGCCATCTGGTGCACCATCGAGTACTAATCTCCCACACTGGCTTCGTGAAGCTTTTGTCCCACCTGATGGGACAGAGGGGCCCACCCTACCACATGGCATCTCGACCATCACTCATTCAGTTAGCTTGCTTTACAACGAGAGGCGGGTCCTCCCACCTCCATCCAATCAGGCCCCACTACCTGTCATTCAAGAATTTCCTATGCAGAAATCAAGCAAGAAGAACAGGCTCAATGGGAGCCCTTTTAACATGCCTGAGGTTTCGGGTTTAAATCCATCCATGGTTGCTAATTATTCTGGGATTTCGTTGATGGAAGCCAGGCTTAGTCTTCTTCCTGGTACAAAATTAGGTGAAGGGTCTCGGATTAGAGTTTCAGACCGAGCTGATAGTGGGGATTCAAGCAAGACCCAGTCTGATCCAGGTGCCCAAAAGGAGGCTTCTTCTGAGGAGACTATATCGGATGATCAGACCGGCAGGCCTTAGGGCATTGAAATTTAGGATACTAAAATCTCCCTCCTTGCTCTCTCTGTCTCTCTGTCTGTGGTTATCTCTTTCTGCCCTTTGGTTGATCTCCCCCCATCCCCCCGTGCGGCTGATTTCTTTCTCTATCCTTCACCTTTGGTTGAGCTCTGTCTGTCTGTCTGTCTCTCTCTCTAGTTAAATTCTTCACTCTCTTGGATTTGTGGAATATTCTGGAATTTTGAGAGGGAAGCCTATACGGTGTGTGTCTGTACAGAAAAGAATGATTTAGGACCTACACCCCATAAAGAGAGAATGTTTATTTAGAGAGTGAATTGTTATTTTCTTCAGTAGTTCAAGTTATATTTGGGGTATATACAAAAAGCTTCCTGTCAAAGGGATTGCGTTAGGAGTGTTTGGAATTGCCTCAACTAGGCTGTGATCAATGTAGTAAATTGGAGATGAAGCTGAACAATTCCGAGATGCTAATGAAATTATGTGTTTTTTCTGGTCAAATTCCCGAGCATTACAAGTAGTTATAGTATATCATATATTACTGGTATGTGCTGTGTATCGTACACCTTGCGGAGATCTTCCTTCCATTTGCTGATAATGGACAATGGGGTTTAACCTCAGTTTCCGGCGACGAAGTTTTAGCTGGAACTAGGAGCTATTGTGTGAGCACAGAGCGAACAACTCTTTTACTGTTTTCTAAAGAATGTTGTGTGCTCCTCGCACACAGCAGCATGCTCCAGTTTTCAGAAGGTTCCCCATTTGAGATTTGAGACCCGTGTTTTAAAATGTGGGATTGGACCCTGCATTGCCTGGGGACTGATTCCAGTTTTCTGGGTCAAGTCAAGTGATTCTCGAGTCAGATTGGTGGACGCAAAAGAAAATAAAACAAAACTTCGAAATGGAATAGAGATTATAGGGTTTCAATGACTCTATTTGATCTTGAGAACTTGTGTTTGTTTAGAGAGAGAGGGAGAAGTCTAGATCGGTACAAACTAATATTCCTTAAAAATGGCATGAGGTATTAGAAGAAAGAATAATTAAGAAGGAATGACTAAATTTATTGTTCTCAAATATTGGGGGCAGTCCTAAAGATTAAATTAGGGACACATTTACGTTCTTCATTGCTATGCTACAAGGCAAGCAATGCAATCGTGGATCCCTTGGCAAAGTAAGGGGTTTCTCAACCATCCTTGATTGTTAATAGATTTTGAGGTTTTTTTATAGCCATGGTTATTGTGTAATCTTTTTGATGATAAATGAAGGGAAAGGAAGAAGTTAACAACCCTCCCCCCAAAAAAACAGGTAAAATCAAAAGAAAGGTTCATTGCTCGGATTGGGCTTGAGACTTGGGCCTTGCCCAAGCCGAGTAACTCGGGCGAGTTCAACTAAACTCGTCCGAGTAGTAGTAGTGTATTAGAAAAATAAAAGGCTAAATTTTTACAAAGTAACAAATTTGTTAAACATATAAAATAATAAAAAGAAAAGAAAAAAATAAGAAAAAAACCTATAAGCAACATTATGGTCCAAAAAAGATGGAGAAATATGTAAAGTATAGGGTATGATTTGTATAGAGTTGAGGCTCTAAACAAATTAGAGAATACTGGAAAGTTTTGTGATAACCTTAAATTATATTTTCATCTTTAGTTATAACATTTAAAGCTTCAAAAATAATGTAGATCAAGCAGATCTATGAAAATTTGAAAATCTTAAAAATCGACAGTTGAAAAATGCGTGACAAGATGCACTATTTCCAAAACTTAAAATCCATTTCTTTCTCGTGTCCATGCATCTTGATGTCGAGATGATCAATTTGATGATATTTGGGCATGAAAACAACATCTTCTAGTGAAATTTTTGAGGTAGGCCTTAATTTGATTGTTTAGAGCCTAGGCTCTATATAAACTTTTCCCATATATAAAAGGCGGTATTTGGGAAAAATAAATTTTAGAGGGAAACAATTCAGAAAAATTAAATAAAGGGGAAAATAGAAAAACATGGCATATGAAAAGAAAAATTCACAAGTCATTGCCAAAAAATCAAAATTACATACAAATTATTTATACATTGAATAAAAAAAGATAATTTCTATAATTTTTTTATATTACCAAATTTGCACCTGCTTGGCAAGGTAACGAGCCCGAGTAAGTTGGCTCAACTCGAGTGCATTCGGCCGATTTTTAACCAAAAGTGATGACAATGTTTGCTAAATGCATGTAATGACTTTGATGCGGTTAAACTATCATAAGCATCACTCCTCCATGAAGTTAAGTAAATTTGAACACCAAATTGAAAGGAATTATCTACTAATTTTATGGTAAGAGAGTACACACATTCATACACCAAAATTAAAAGGTTCCTATTACGGATCAATTGCTCTTTTATGAAAACAAAATAAAGCGTCACCTCAAATTGGTCATTTATGAAAACAAAATAAAGCCTCACGTCAAATCCTTGTTCATGTTTGGTGACGAAAATCTCTACGACAGCTCTAAAATCAATTTCCCAGAAAAATAATACAAATCTTGCAGATATGTGAACACTTATTTTTAAAACAAAATGGGCAGTCTAGATAATTTCTTATAATTTACACTATTTTTAAAACTTGAAATCCTAATTTTTTCTTACAGCCATAACGTTCAAGTCGAGATGATCAATGTAAAGTTTTTCCAATGTTTGACTTGAAATTTTCCACGAGTTATGATGTGAGGATTTACTTATTTTGATAGGGCTGCAGCCCAACGAAACTATTTTTCTATAATATTTTTTCTATTTTTTATTTACAGTATACCTATCAAGATACATGAATAATTGAAAACGGGTAAACTTTATATTGTTAAAAATCAATGTGTATTTTGATAAATTTCTCGAATTAATATAAGAATCCAAAAAAGTAAGAAGTTTTCCAAGTCCAAAAGATTATAAGCTCTTCCGGGAACATATTGTATATTCATTCCCTATGTAAAACCTTGTTTGTAACTCTATGTAGGAATATTTTGGGACCCAAGTAGATCAACCTAGGAAAAATTTATCCTAACTCCTAAACTTGAATGGACACCAACCCAAAATCGGGAGGTTGTGCTCAAGAACTCAAAATCTTATTCTATTTTTTCTTTTTCTTTTTTTTTGAAAATAAAAGAAAACTTCAGTGGGGCCATTTGTTGTCGTGGGAGTAGGTTGTATACCATTCTCTAGATCTTTTGGCTTGTTTATAATAAAGCAAATCTAGGTCTTTGGCCTTGTTTATAATAAGGCAAATTTATCGAAATCCATAATAGATGATTTATTTAATAATTTACACATTTGCAACTGTTCCAATTGATGAGCATGTGTTTTTTATGGGTATTTTAAATTTCATTCAAAGTGTATGCATACAATGTAGTTCATCTCTCATTGGTATTTTGATAAATTTCCCTTCTAATAAAAATAGAAAATGGTAAGACTTCCGCCCCTAATGAAAACTGAAATTATGATTTTACCCTCGTCGTTGTGGCTCCCACGAGCGAAGAGGGCGAGATAGAGGAAGAGGTCGCGAGGGAGAGGAGTAAGGGGAAAGTAGAACAAATAGAACCAAGGAGAAGTAAAAAACATAGTTTAGAGCCAATTTCCAACCATTTTGAAATGGGGTTAATTGTGTGTGTGTGAGAGAAAGAGAGAGAGAGAGGGATGCTTAAAATCAGGAGTCAAATTATTTCATCTTCTTTTTTTTTTTTATGTTTTTTTCTCTACCTTCATTTTCGAATATCGTGTGACTTTCTCTCTCCTGGGCCTAAACCAAGAAATCACATGAAGATCATGTTTCTATCGACCAATCTTGACAAGATTGGAGTAAAACCAAAGCTTTAGTGATATGATATAGTTACTAATTTGATGACAAATCAACATGCCTTCTTGTATTATTAAAAACATTTATAGGTGTGGAGCGACAAAATCTAAAACTTGCTTTACCAAACTGGCATCATCTTAAAAGTGCTCTCTTGAATCTGATTGCATCTTGGTTATTTTATTGAAACATGGGCGTTCAAAGAAGGGATACTATCTCGTACCTCCAAGTTTGTAGTTCAGTTAGAGCTCATTTCAATTCGAGCTCATTTTAATTTGAGCTCCTTTTAGTTAGAGTTCCTTTCAGATTGAGCTCCTTTCAATTCGAGCCCCTTTCAAAATAGAATGTCGATCAAAAAATAGAACTTTAGTCAGAATACAAGTTGGGTCAAAGTACAGATCAGGATTTCTATGATTATCAGGCCAATATTGATCTTGGGCTAGTAGCAAGTTTGTCGAGGAGACCCATTCATCAAATCATAATCGGGACTGACGAAGATCGAACCCACAGCTTTTGCCTTGACAGGGCGGTGCTCTGACTGATTGAACTACAATGTAGAACGCATATTCTTATTATTTTTACTCACGATGACCGACGAAACTCAACAATTTCAAAGTATAAAACTTCAAAAGATGACAACACGTTTAGAATGATGAATCAGGATTTTATAAGGCTAGATCTATTTGATGTTGTCAATTTTAGAAGATGGCAGCACAAAGTCTGACGCATCATATTCTTTCAATTTAATGTGTTAAGCCCTTTTTCATACTGTTTTTTGCTTTATGTATTCATATTCATATTAATTCACAAAGAACACTCATCAAATCTCTTATTTGAGGCTCCATTCCCTGATTATATGCTTAAAGAGAGACATAAACCAGAGTCAAAGAAAGATTTCCCTAAATAGATAGATCTTAAAGCTTACCATGGCCTTTGTGGGAATATCCACCTAGAGACCAAGATCTGCCCCAATAGTAGGTAATCTTGTACCACTCTTGAAATTCATGATTATGTCCATGAATCCAAGGCTACATGATTAAAAAAACATGCTTAAAATCCTAAAATCAAAGTTCTCCTCAATCATGCTGATAAGCCATTTTCTTACTACAATGCGCTCAAAATTCTAGAGCATTCAAGAGCTATATACCTTGAAATTCCATGATTTGCATTAGATATCAATCCTTCTATTTTTTGAAAAATTTCAATAAGAAAAACCTAAAAGAATTGACAAATCGGCTCAAAACTAGTGGTCCCCAATTTGACCCCATCTGTTCGGTTTTTAATGCACTATTCCTCATTGCCATAATTTATTTTGCTCATTCGAGGATTGATCTAGTCCTGGCTAGCACATTGTCAAATTATTCCCATATTAGGAATCTTTGTCTCCTTTAGAATGCAGCCTTCGACAAATCTCTCCATCTAGAAAATTCAGGTGTGAATTCAATCAAAATCCAAGCTTATGGTTTTCAATGTGAAAGGATGGAACTTAGGAAAAGAAAAAGAATGGGTCTCTTCTTTTGGAAAAGAGGCCATGCTTAATTGGTTAGCACTTGATGATTTGCAGTGCTATGTCTCAGGGATATAATTTTTATTCGGTGAATCAGTGATGACGGAAAGGGTCCCTACCCTTTTGCCCCACTAATTCACCCTTAAAAAAAAAAAAATCTATCTCTTCAAATTG